CCAGGTCAGGGCTCATCGGTATTAACGAACCTTATGTCCACTGTCTAATGCAAGCATGGTGGACAAACAAACATTGATCAAACACTTTAAACCCAACCTGCAGTTGATGCTCCATGCTGCAATCGCATTGATCTGGTGGTACACAAGTGCAGCATACTAGGGCACACAATTATACTGTCGAAAGGAACAGAGAGGGTGCCACAGGCAAAGAGGAGAAATGGCATGAAAAAGAAGAAAAGATTGGATTTATACCCCGCCTTTCACTTGGAGTCTCAGAGCGGTTTGCAATCTCCTTTCCCTTCCCCTCCCTAGAACAGACACCCTGTGAGGTAGGTGGGGCTGAGAGAGCTCTTTTGAGGACTGCTCTTGAGAGAACAGCTCTGAGAGAACTTGTGACTGACCCAAGGTCACACCAGCAGCTGCATGTGGAAGAGTGGGGAATCAAGCCCTGTTCTCCCAGATTAGAGTCCGCGCTCGTAACCACTACAGCAAACTGGCTCCGAAACTTAAGCAGCCCAGGCAAACTGGATCTCGTCAGATCTCGGAAACCTAAGCAGGGTCGACCCTGGCAAGTACTTGGAAGGGAGCCCTCCAAGGAATACCAGGGCTGGGACGCAGAGGCAGACAATAGTAAGCCACTTCTCTGAAACATCCAAGCTTCCAGGCACACACACACACAATACTCACCAAAGAAAAAAGAAACTTAAGCGGAGATCGTGTAATGGCCGGGAAGGCCCACTGTCTCTCTTGAGACATCTACCGCGATCTCTTGGTCGAAAGAGAGGGGGCAGCACTGAGCACACATGAAGCTGCTTTATACTGAATCGGATCCATCAGTCCATCAAGGTCAGTATTGCCTACTCAGGCTGGCAGCGACACTCCAGGGTCTCGGGAGGAAGTATTTCACATCATCTACTGCCAGATCCTTTTAAATGATCCTTCGCTTTCCATAAAAGGTGCCCCCCTTGGGAACTGTATGGCAGGTCCTGCGTGAATGAATGAAAGCAAACTGATGACATTACAGGTGCGTGCTTGGCAAAGTCATTATTTATAGGAATTACCTAAAAATGCCGACACTGTTTGGCACAGAGCACGTGCTGGCCCTTTTCGAAAGGCTAGGTGCCGTGAGGAGAGTTCCCTCTAAGTTGTCCTGGGGGGTGATGGCACACAAAAGTTTAGCTCCAGCTCAGGGATTTTAAGCTTCTGCTCATACTAAGGCATTTTCCCCTGCATTGGAAACCATGGAGGATGGGGGCACCTCATTCTGGAGCCCACAGAATTTGGACCCCCTGGTCCAATCTCTTTGAAACAGGGTGGGTGGGTTTGAGGAGAGGCACCAGCAGCTATGCTGCAAATTTAGTGCCTCTACCTCAAAAAACACCCCCTCCAAGTCCCAGATACCCCTGCATTGATTCTCCATTATAGCCTTTGGGGCCCATTGCCTATAATGGTCCCTGTGGGCTATAACGGAGCCAGGAAAAAAAAAATTTTGCACACCCAGTATGGTTTTCAGTATGATTTGTAAGCTGCCTTGAGTCAGAGGACAAGTGGGGTATAAATATTTGAATAAATAAGTAGTTTGGGCAGGTTGATAACATTTAAGCAATTTCCTGTTTGTTAGGTTAGGCAGGGTTCTGACATTGGAAACAATGGAGGATGGGGCAGCTCTTTCTGCGGCCCACAGAATTGGACCCCGATCCAATCTTTTTGAAACTTTTTTTTGGGGGGTTGAGGAAAGGCACCAGCAGCTATGCTGCAAATCTGGTGCCTCTACCTCAAAAAACACCCCCTCCAAGTCCCAGGTACCCCTGGATCAATTCCCAATTATAACCTATGAGGCCCATTGACTATAATGGTCCCCATAGGCTATAATGGAGCCAGAAAAAGTTGGTTTTCTTTTTGCACCCCCAGTATGATTTTTGATATGATTTGCAAGCTGCCTTGAGTCAGAAGAAAAGTGGGATATAAATATTTGAATAAATAAGTCATTTGGGCAGGTTGATAACACTTAAGTAACTTCCTGTTTGTTAGATTAAGCAGGGTTCTGACAGTGATTGTTCCACCTCTGTTATACTTGACCTGTAATTTGTCACATTCCATTAAAACAAAACAAAGTAGCCTGCAAGAGTTTCCCCCCCTCTAAGTGCTGGTATGTTTTCTAAGGCTTAGCGCAGGGCAACAGTCCGAGGCCAGGTCTACCAATATAGCGGAAAGGGAAGAGTAGGCCTGTTCTCTGGAGGCCTGGTCTACCCCCATAGAGGACAACACTTTCTTTAACGAAATTTGACTTGATTCTGTTTTCTCTTATAATGTTTAAATTATTTTTTAAAATATAGTTTAAATATAGTTTAAAAGAATTCATTCTGAGATTTTTACAAGGTTATGGAAATTATCTAAAAAACTAATTTATGCAATAGCCAAATGTAGACTCGCTCACAACTTTTAACGTTACTAGCTTTTTTCGCGCATGAGGTAGAATTTTTGCTCAAAACACTGGAGTTTAGAGAGAACACTGGCTGAGAGGTGTCTGACGCAGGGCCGGATTTAGACTTGCTGAGGCCCTAAGCTATACAAAACCCAGAGGCCCCCTACTGTTTTAAATTACATCAGCTGGTCTCAGAAAAATTTAAAATATATACACCTTTTTAATATTTGAAATCATTTTTTATATTGTGTTTTTATTTGAGGCCCCAGCAGATTGCGAGGCCCTAAGCTGTAGCTTATTTAGCTTATGTGTAAATCCGGCACTGGTTAGGGGTGGAGCCTGGGGAGGAGGGTACAGAATGCAAAGGAGAATTACTTTATGCTGCTCTCCCCATGCAGAGGATGAAACGCCAGATTTCTCCTCCCCTCCTTTTAAAAGCAGCACAAGTAAAGAAACCAAAGCTGAGGAGTTGGATGATGGTCATTGTATTGTATGCATATATCATAAATACACTTCTAAAAACTGCCTTGTTTGGAGTGCTGTTTTCTGCCTTAATATTTTTTTTTATTGTGGCCTTGAGGCATTTAATGATAATGTGGTGTGCCTGGGGGCTGGTTGTGTATCAAAGGTTAAAGACCACTGTATTACACAAAATGTTTTGCAAAAACCATAGCATGTCCCCCTTGTAGACAGCTGTAGGGCATGTAGAGAAGGGGTTACTGCTTGTAAGAGCAATATTTGAACACTGTTCTGCTCTGCATTTTCAGGATCCAGATTGTTGCAAGAAATATGCTCATGCCTAGAAAAGTAACCAATTAGGGTAACAGAGCTAAGGTTGCCAACTCTGGGTTGGGAAATTCCTGGAGATTTGGGGGTGGAGCTTGAAGAGGAGGGTATAATCCCACAGAGCTGAGCAGAGTGTAATCCCTCCAAAGAGTACATTCTCCAAAGTAGCCATTCTCTCCAAGGGCATTGATTTCTGTAGTCTGGAGATCAGTCGTAATTGGATGTAATATTTGTTATCTATCAAGTTTTTGCTTAATAAAAAATTTAAAGAAAAAAAAAAAATTTAGCTTATGCGTAAATCCGGCACTGGTCTGACGGATACGCAGAGTACAAGCTCATGGGCCTTTCTTCTGCCATCACTGTAGTTTAGGGAAAAAAGGTTCGTATGGAAAATTCGTAACACCCTGATTTAGATGGCCCAGACGGCTAGCCTGATCTCATCAGATCTCAGAAGCTAAGCAGAGTCGACCCTGGTTGGTCCTTGGGTGGGAGACCACCAAAGAAGTCCAGTGGTTGCTACGCAGAGGTAGGCAATGGCAAACCACCTCTGAATGTCTCTTGCCTTGAAAGCCACATGGAGCTGGCATACGTTGTCGGCGACACGATGGCTCTTTCCAACGTTCCTCCTGAACTCCTCCTGGTGGAGACTCTTCATGCCGATTTTGGCTTCATGTTTTAGAAGAACAAGGAGCTGCGGTGGCTCAAGTGGTTAAGACGCTGAACTGCAGGCTGTGGAAGGTTGGTAGTTCAGCAGTTCGAGACCCGAGTGTGCCGCGTGACGGAGTGAGCTCCCGTCTCTAGTTCCAGCTCCTGCCAACCTAGCAGTTTGAAAGCAAGAAATTGCAAGTAGATAAATAGGTACCACTTCGGTGGGAAGGTAACAGCGTTCCGTGCGCCTTGGTGTTTAGTCATGCCGGCCACATTATGACCACGGAAACATCTTCGGACAGCGCTGGCTCTTCGGCTTTGAAACGGAGATGAGCACCGCAACCCTAGAGTCGGATTCGACTGGCTTTCGAGCAAGGGAAACCTTTACCTTTTACCTTTAGAAGAACGCTTCAGAAGACCTTCTTCCCAAGTCTGCCTAGCAATCAGTGAGGGAGCACTCTACCACCTGCAGATCATTGTTTAATGAGAAAACGCCACAGTTTGCCATATCCGAATCAAAGTTTGCTTCAAATACATTTTATTATACAAAATACTCCTTTGCGACTGTAATTCAAACTTAAAAAAAAATTATACAAAATATTCCTTTGCAAGTGTTGCGACTGTAATTTAAACATTTTTAAAAAGTATATACAAAACATTCCTTTGCAACTGTTATTGAAACGTGTTTTTAAAAAAACCACCTCTTCCGGACACAAGGTTTAAAACAAAACAGTCCCCACGCGCACCCTGCCTGCCAAGTGTCCAAAAATAATGTGGAGTCAGAGAGCTGATAGAGACACAACAATTTTCTTCTGTGGGTGAATGCCCATGGAAGAATGCGTAATATAATATTACAGGGGGAATGCAAAATCCACATGGATTACATTTGAAAGGTACCATGAGTGAGACCAGATGGAAAACTAAATTCCCTGCTAAATTCCATGTCTAAAACGATACAAGCACGTACACCACACTGTTTCATTTTTCAACACATCTGGATCAGCCCAGAATGGAAACACGGCAGGAGAACTTCCTATCTCAGCTGCCTCGGAGAAGAGCAGCTTTTTTGCTATCTATCCCAAGAAACACCAATAACGAAGACAGCGGGAAACATTTGACAGGGAATGGTTCCACAGGACCGTCACGCCCTCACGGCGGACCCCCACCCAACACTGGTGGGACGAATTCCTTCCGCGGGGGATCCCACCGCCCATGGAATTTCCGCTCTCGTTTTTGGCCCGCCCTGACGACCGGAGGGGAGAGGATTGTCCAGGCGGTCAAATTCGCGCAGGCGGAAACGAGTGGCCAGCTGGTTGACCATTTTTTTGAGAGCGAGGAAAGCCACGACGACCTGAAAAACGAGGAAGACCACAAAGACGATATGGACGGCTCGCTCCAGGGGCTGGATCCTCAGGCCTTCGTTTAGAAGCAGGAAGAGGATTAAGGGCAGCTGCAAAAAGAGACTCAGGAGCCAAAAGCCGGCCAGTTCGGGAACCTAGGCAGAGAAAAGGGAATTGGTATCCATATATCGCCACCCTGACAACAGCAAAAAGCCAGAAGAATGAAAGCAAAGAAAGCCTATCAGTCTATCTAGTCTAGTCTGTCAAAAGTCTGAAGAGCAAACCCTGGCGGAGAAAAAGACCAATTCACAAAGAGTTCAGGGTATAGCTTTTCATTGCCAGATTTCCAGTCCTTTCCCCTGCCTTCTCATCTCTTCCGCAGAAAGGACCCCCCGTCGCTGTTGTTGTGGTTGCGATTGCTTTCGAGGTGGGTCCTGCCAAGAGAGTGAAGCGTCATCATCAGACTTTGCAGGCAGACATCTTGGCCCAATGTCATTCTCTGTTTTCACAGCAGTGACAGGGAGAACAACAAACAAACAGGAGGGGGCGTGGGGGGGGGGGAGAGACAGCGATTGCCTGCCAGCCTCTCTCAACCTTCTACAGAACCCAATTTCTCCACAATCTGGCTACGTACATTCAGGGCTTTTTTTGTAGAAAAAGCCCAGCAGGAACTCATTAGCATAATAGGCCATAGCCAACAGCAGGAACTCATTAGCATATTAGGCCACACCCATGACAGCACAGCTCATTAGCATATTAGGCCACATCCCCGTGTTACCAGAAGTGTGGTCATCCAGCCACACCCACCTTTTGCTCCTTATTCTGTTGACCTTGTTTGTTGTCAAAACCCAGGGCTTTTTTTGGAACAGGAACTCCTTTGCAAGTTAGGCCACACACCCCTAATGTAGCCAATCCTAATGAGTTTCTGCTGTTGGGTGTGGCCTATTATGCTAATGAGTTCCTTCTGGGTGTGGTCAACTTGGAAGCCTGCCGGAACTCCGTTCCTGTGCGTTCCTGCCCAAAAATAGCCCTGCGTACACTAGAATACCTTAAATCACAGGGTGGAATTCCACAAATGGTTATCGACCTCGCCTTTTGATTCATATTAGGGTAAAGATGTAGAGTTTTGACTGGATAAGTTACACAAATTGATGCATAAAATTCTTCGGTTCAGTTATGTTTAAATATGTTACCATACTGCCTTGATTTTGCTGACAATCTGTATCTTACTGTATGACATTTCAGTGCAATGTTTGTACTGAAAACCGTTAAAAATTAATAAAATATAAATCAGAAAAGTATTGCGTTTTAGTTGCTCCGAAAGGCGAGGGGGCGGTGGTGGGGGTGGTATTTGTCTTGCTCCATGACAGCGGGAGGGGAACTGGGGGTGATCTTGGCAATTTGGGGTGATCTTGTAGGGTTTTTCTGGGAAGGAACTTACACAGACAACAAAAGCTAGAACAAAAAAGAACCTTAGAGGCAAAGGAGGGAGAAGAAGCGGGAGGTGGTGGTGGTGGAACTCGCAAGCTTGTCTTAAGTAGGAAAAACACAACCCAACATACATTTTAAGCACATTTATGTCCGTTGCAGTTATTGTGTTTAAGGACATTGTACAGAACCTGTTGATGATACCTTGTGGGCTACACATTCTGCATATACAAAGGTGTGTTTCTTTTTTTGGATGCACATGACGCTGCCTTATATTAAATCAGACCAGGGGTCATTTCATAGAAAAAGAGGTGCAGGAGCTCATTAGCATAACTCATTTGCATATGCCACACCCCCTGACATCACCGGAAGTGTGTCAGAAGGCAACACCCACCGCTCAGGCTCCACTGGACTGTTTTGGATTGCTAGCTATAGGGCGGGGGGGAACGTGCAGATCTGTCCTCAAAGAGGAGGGAGAGCTTGTACCTGAATAAGACTTGGGCTTAAAGGTGCCACTGGACTGTTTTGGGCCAGGGGGAGCTCTGCAACTTACCTGGCTGCTTCTTGGTTTGACTGAGGGCTGCTGGGAGCAGGGGGTGGAGCTTGTTGCATGTGCCCGCCCCCTGGGCTCCTTACTGCCGGAGCTCCGCTCCTGTGCGCTCCCACAGGAAATGACCACTGAATCAGACCCTTGGTCCATCAAGGTCAATATTGCCTACTCAGACTGGCAGCCGCTCTCCAGGGTCTCAGGCAGAGGTCTGTCCCATCACCTACTGCCAAATCCTTTTACTGGAGATTCCATGGATTGAACCTGGGACCTTCTGCATGCCAAACAGATGCTCTGCCACTAAGCCATGGGCCCTTCTCGTCTTACTATATATTACACACACACCAAGGCTGTTCCGATGACTGAGGGGTGACATGACCGAAGTTTACAAGATTATGCATGGGATAGAGCAGGTCGAGAAAGAAGTCCTTTTCTCCCTTTCCCACAAGACAAGAACTCGTGGGCCCTTCATGAAATTGCCGAGCAGTCGGGTTAGAACAGATAAAAGGACGTCCTTCTTCACCCAGAGAGTGATTAACACATGGAATTCACTGCCACAGGAGGTGGTGGCGGCTACAAGCATGGACGGCTTCAAGAGGGAATTGGATAAGCATATGGAGCAGAGGTCCATCTGTGGCTATTAGTCACAAGGTATAGAGAGGAACTCTCGGTCTGGGGCAAGGGATGTTCTGTCTTCCTGGTGCTTGGGGGGGGGGTGCGGTCAACAGTGGGAGGGCTTCTAATGTCCTGGCCCCACTGGTGGACCTCCTGATGGCACCTGGTATTTCTGGCCACTGTGTGACACAGAGTGTTGGACTGGATGCGCCTTTGGCCTGATCCAACATTGGCTTCTCTTATGTTCTTATGTTCAGGTAAAGCTTCAGATAGAACACTACCTAAGTTTAGAGTGAATTTGAAACAGCCAAGGAGAGATGGCAGACCAATGGAGAATTCAGAAGTCTTACAAGCCACCTTCCTTGTGCTTTAGAGTTACAGTGATTCCCTTCTGCAAGCCTACTGCCAATCCGTAATTTTATAAAGGTATCAGTCAAAGGGTGCGTTCAGATGGGGCATTTAAGCCGGTATAGATGCCGGTTAGAATCGGAGTACTTACGCTGGGCCACCGCCAGTGTTCCCTCTAAGCTAAGTTAGTGCGAGCCAGCTCACAGTCTTTTTAGCCTCCGGCTCACACATTTGTGTCTGAGCTCAGGAAGGGATGGCTCCAGAGCGAACGAATTTATGCAGCGGCCAAATGTCTCGCTCACAGCTTTAATACCAGTAGCTAGTAGAATTTTTGCTCACAAGACTCCACAGCTTAGAAGGAGCAATGGCCACCGCCCCTCTCCAGTATTTAATTTGTACAATGCATTTTGTTCAATGAGATGGTTACCGCTTCCCCCCCCCCCTCTCCCTGGACTCATAGCAGCCTGGAAAGGCTGGTTTCAGGCATAGGAATGGGGAAAGAAAGGGTTGGATCCAGACTGTATTAGCAATTTCCACTGATCTCTGTTCCCACTTCACACACACCCCCCCACCCCATATGTCATTCCCCCAGGAGCAACATTTTGTGGACATCAGGGGCTGTAGTGCAGGAGTTCTAGTCTGCCACTGGGAAATTCCATCTGGATCCAACCTATAACCTTTCCCGGGGTCCTGGCCCTGATCTGTATCCAGCTCTCCAAGCTGGTGAATTTACCTTCTCCTGTAAATTGCCCATGTATCCCAGGTACAGACGGATCACCTCTATCAGAGAACTTATTATCATGATTGTCACCAGGATGAATTTGTAGTAATCTGGTAAGACCGGGTACTGGAAGTGAGAAGAAAGGGGGGGGGGAATAAATACTCAGCTTGGCCAATGCAGTCCCTACTTAACACAGGCATCTTATTTATTTTATTTTCATTTCTTTACGTGATTCATAGCCCGCCTTTCTCGCTTGGACTCAGGGCAGATTACGCAGAGTCGATACAATCGACAAGATGGGGCATTCAATGAACCATGCGAAAGGATCTGTGGGTTGTCGAACCAAGCAGAAGTCTATAAACAGAACTCAGGCAGGGCAGGAGTGTCCACATGATTTTTATTCTCCTTCTCCTCAGAGTGTTTTTATTTGCCCCACGAGGCAATCACAGGCCGGAAATGGGAGAAAACTGTAATTTTTGCCACTTGATTTTAAAAAAAAAGAGTGTATTAATACTAATACTTTTTGAACTTGTTTTATAGTTTGGTTTTTTTTAAAAAAACAATTTTATTTTTAAAGGACAAACAGAAAACAAACACAAACAAACATACATAAAATCGGGGGTACCATTTCCATCATTGTTTTGTCTATCGAGTTACCTCATACATTATCTAATTATACTTTTATTTTTCCCACCATATATTTTTAAATAAGCCTTTGCCTATAGTTCAGAATATCGTTCACATGTTCTTCTGATTGGGTTGTATGTCCAAATGGTTTGTTTCGTATATTCTTCCATCCATTTGTCAAACCTCGACCATGGATTCTCAAAGCTTCCATTTTGTCCCCTCAAAATTAAAGTCAATTTGTCCATTTATGATTTCTTCTTTTGAAGGTACCTCATTTTCCCTCGAACTTATTTTATAGTTTTTTAATGTTTTTAACTGTGTCGTGTATCGCCCCGGAGCTCTACAAGAGTAGGGATTGGGCGATTCATCAATGACATAAATAAATAAATGGTGCAAAATTACAGGATCAGACCGACAGCAAGCTAATCTTTTTGAAATTCACCCTGTACACCAAGGGGTCCCAACCTTTTTGGCCCACGGGGGCACCTTTGGACTTCTGACACGGGGTAATTGGTTCAAATACAATATGGCTGAGGCAGGAGGTGGAGCCAACCACAAAAAGTCAGGGAATGGAGTTACGCATAGCGCTTATATGAACTCTTCGGCGTTTCAGGCGGAAGCTGTTGAACAGGATTGCCTTTGAAAATGAACACGGTATTTGAAAACGCTCTCTCGCACGCATAACCGCTGCTCTTCAGTTATACCGTGAAGACGCTTGTGCTGTGGTGGCAACTGTTGCCAAAGCAATTTTTAAATGTAAATATACACAGCCAATCAGATCCCCAGCGGCCAGTCACAGGACCTGCTAGGCAAAGGTCCTCCCACTTTCTAAAAACACTCGGCAGGCGCCAGGAAAGGTCCTCGCGGTAAACTGAATGTCTGCCCCCTGGTCTAACCATTGCTTTCCCCAAACGACCTGTGTCTAAATCCCTCTCTGACAAACGCTACACGTTTCTACCTGCCATCTTCTGACATCAATGCTGGCATTGCTGGGGATAAGTCAATAAGCTGGGGATAAGTCAATATCCAATTGTCTGGATAGCCCCGGCAAGCCCGATCTCACCAGATCTCGGAAGCTAAGCAGGGCCGACCTTTGGCAAGTACTTGGAAGGGAGACCTCCAAGGAATACCAGGGCTGGGAGGCAGAGGCAGGCAACAGCAAGCCACTTCTCTGAACGCCCAAGCCCCACTAGGGGTCAGCAAAAGTCAATCATGACTTCCAAGCACACACACACACACACACACACTCAGGGGTCATTTCGTAGAAAAAGAGCTAGGGGAACTCATTAGCATAACTCATTAGCATATGCCACACCCCCTGACATCACCGGAAGTGTGTCATAAGGCCACACACCCCGCCCCCAACGGTCCCGGCCGCCGCCGCCAGCCTTGCAGCTCCACTGCCGAGCCCCATGAGGGGCCCAGCGGTGGACCTGCAAGGCCAGCGGGAGTGCAAGGAAGCCCCGCGAAGGCCCTCCCTGGCCCCAGGCAGGCAGAGGTGGGGAGAGGCAGGGAGGAAGCAACTTACCCTCCCTCTTCTCCTGCCTCCTCCTACTACCCTGGGGGAACCGCGATCCCCCGCGATCCCCCCCGAAATGACCTCTGCACACCCCCCAAAAAATACCGCCTCCCCCCCCCAAAAAAACCCTATAACAGTCCTTCTCTTGCAGAGAGGAGACAAGAACTGACTTTCTGGAAACGTTAAGGTCCAAACTGCCTTCAGGGCTTACCTTCAGCTGTAGCATGACAACGCTACTCACCCACCAGAACGGGAAAAAGCAAAGGTTGAAATAGAGGGCCATCTGCAGCGGCAAACTGGAGACGAGTTCATTATCTGGAGAGACAAAGAAATGGCCTGCCAGTCACTGGAGAGTCGTTCTCTTCTGTAACGGGTGCCTCGTGGCTCGTTCAAAACTAATAGAAAGAAGAAGGAAAGTTGCAAAAACATGCGCTTATATAATTACAAAAATAGGTATATATTCATTCACACCGAGTGAAAAAATACAAAAGTTTACAGTATTTTGAAACAATCAGAACAATTCATCTCATTAGATGGTGTAAGGTAAAAGGTAAAGGGTTCCCTTGCTCGAAAGCCAGTCGAATCCGACTCTAGCCTTGCGGTGCTCATCTCTGTTTCAAAGCCAAAGAGACAGCGCTGTCCGAAGACATTTCTGTGGTCATGTGGCCGGCATGACTAAACACCGAGGCGCACGGAACACTGTTACCTTCCCACCGAAGTGGTACCTATTTATCTACTTGCAATTTCTTGCTTTCGAACTGCTCGGTTGGCAGGAGCTGGAACTAGAGACGGGAGCTCACTCCGTCATGCGGCACACTCGGGTCTCGAACTGCTGAACTACCGACCTTCCACAGCCTGCAGCTCAGCGTCTTAACCCCCTGAGCCACCGCACCGCAACAGTATGAGTTGTTGACGAAAATCTCCGTTCCGTTCCGAAAATCTCCGCTCCAAGATCAAATTCCGTTTCGAAGAGACTTCCTCTGAACGTCATCAAGCTTTTTGAGTGGCAACAAACAAGAAGATGTTTTCTTTGGTTTCCAATAAGTATTCATTCCAAACTGTTAGTATCCTAATCCATGATCTACAGAAATCTACTTAGACGGGCAGAAGGTGTTACTAGGGAATATCTAGTGCCTGTCTAAGTAGATTTCTGTAGATCATGGATTAGGATACTAACAGTTTGGAATGAATACTTAATGGAAACCAAAGAAAACATCTTGTTGTTTGTTGCCACTCAAAAAAGTTTGATGACGTTCAGAGGAAGTCTCTTCGAAACGGAATTTGAACTCCGGAGATTTTCGTCAACAACTCATACCGTTATGGTTTTACTTACCTGTTACACCGTCTAATGAGATGAACTGTTCTGATTGTTTCAAAAGACAATAAACTGTTGTATTTTTTCACTTGGTGTGAATGAATATATATCTTTTGTAATTATATAAGCGCATGCTTTTGCAGCTTTGTGTTTTCTCTTTCTGTTACCATATTTGTGGCTGTGACCTTCTAGCTGTCGTTCAAAACTAAAGCCGCTTTGATACCCCTGAAAAAATGGGCTCTTGTCCATTTAAGTTTTAGTTCGAATAAGATCTGGTTAGCTTTTAAGGGGCCATTAAAGCAAAGTGTGCCATCAAGCTGAGACCCATTCACGGCAACCCCATGAAGTTCCACCTGGTGGAGTTTTCAAGGCAAGAGATGAGCAGAGGTGGTTTTTGCCACTGGGCGATTCTGCATCTGGCATTCGCTCCACGTTTTCTCAACTGGGAGGGAAAAGTGCAGCTCAAAACCACATTCAAATACCCCGGGGCCAACGCCGTACTGACTGCAAAGTCACCCCCGAACAGCCATAAATCTATGCAGAAGGTACCATAAAACCCGATGATCAAAGGAAGCGAAAGCGGCATGCATTCCAGAGGGTACCATAAAACCCGATGATCAAAGGAAGCAAAAGCGGCATGCATTGCAGAGGGTACCATAAAACCCGATGATCAAAGGAAGCAAAAGCAGCATGCATTGTAGAGGGTACCATAAAACCCGATGATCAAAGGAAGCAAAAGCGGCATGGAATGCAGAAAGGAATTTCTGTTCCAACAGGGGTTTCATAAAACAATGGCGGGAGAACCCAATGCAGAATCACCCACTGCCCCCCCCTGCTTAACCACCCTGGTCTTCCTAGGTGGTCTCCCATCCAAGTACTGACCATTGCTAACCCTCCATAGCTTCCAAGTTCTGATGAGATCAAGAAAGTCTGGGATAATGCTAGACTTATTGGGTGTTGTGAATAAGAAGTGGGAGACTGACCAGTTATGAAGGTGCACAGAGAGTTTATATAGTTATAAAGGTGAATACATACAGAGATATTTACAGGCTATTGAACAGCATGTCGTGCCTTAGTCTATGAGAACTAAGTCCCCATCCAGTTTACTAAGCTGATAGCTATTATGCTAAACCCCAGCCAATCTCTAACAGGGTGATGCAGTCACTAACGCTAACAAGCCCTGAAAGAGTAACACCTGCTAGAAAACACCTGGCTGTAATTACATGATTACTAGCCTGACAGCTAGGTCTGACAAACAGATCAAACTGATCTATAGTAACTGCTTGCTACCTCTATCACTCTGACATATATCTCAATAAGACTTGGGTTTACTTTGGCTACAATGCAGCCATCCTTCTGGAATTCTCTTTTATACGCTACAGGCTGCCTTGACCTGGACGGCCCAGGCTAGCCCGATCTCATCAGACCTCAGAAGCTAAGCAGGGTCGGCCCCGGTTAGTACTTGGGTGGGAGACCACCAAGGAAGCCCAGGTTTGCTCTGCAGAGAAAGGCCATGGCAAACCACCTCTGTGCATCTCTTGCCTTGAAAACTGGATGGCCCAGGCTAGCCTGATCTCATTCATTCATTCCTTATTTCAATTTATATCCTGCCCTTCCCACAAATGGACTCAGGGTGGCTTACAGCAGTTGCAATTATAATACAATTATAAATAATATCAGATAACACAATAAAACCAATTTAAAACATTTAACGTGAGCAGTGCAGTACATTCAGTTCCAATACATCCACACACTTTACAGCAGGGGTGTCAAACATAAGGCCCGGACTCTTACCCAGCCGCAAGCAACGGGTATGGATGGAAATGTAAACTCCTCCTCTTTTGCGGTATCCCTTGGGGGAAAACCTAATCTTGGGTATGATTAAATACATTTATTGGGGGGTGTTGTGGGTTCCCCAGTAAATCAGTTGCTTTCACTGGCAGGAATTAACTGCTTTTGTTTGTGAGCAGGGCTATTTTGGGGCAGGAACGCACAGGAACGGAGTTCCGGCTGGCTCCGGAGTTGGCCACGCCCAGCAGGAACTCATTAGCATAATAGGCCACACCCAACAGCAGACACTCATTAGGATTGGCTACATTGGGGGTGTGTGGTCTAACATGCAAAGGAGTTCCTGCTACGAAAAAAGCCCTGGGTTTTGGCAACAAACAAGGTAAACAGAATAAGAAGCAAAAGGTGGGTGTGGCTGGATGACCACACTTCTGGTGACATGGGGGTGTGGCCCAATATGCTAATGTGCTGTGCTGTCAGGGTGTGGCCTACTATGCTAATGAGTTTCTGCTGTTGGGTGTGGCCTGTTATGCTAATGAGTTCCTGCTGGGCTTTTTCTACCCAAAAAGCCCTGTTTGTGAGTTAAAAAGTAAAACTGTTAATTGGGTTTGCCTGTGTTCTTTATAAAGTTTATATCTGGTACCTGGCCTTACATTTTATGGCGCACATGGCCTAGCCCGACAAAGTGACATCCGGCCCTCGTAAAAAATGAGTTTGACACCTCTGCTTTAGAGTGTGACGCTGCCAGGATACTTGGACTGAAGTCAGGCCGCTGTTTGGCTTTTTAAAAGAATAAATAAAAGGATCCTTTGCAAATATAGATTCAGGTGGGGTCGCCGCGTTGGTCTGAAGCAGCAGAGCAAAGTTCGAGTCCCGGGGGCACCTTGAAGACCCACAAAGTTTAATTCAAGATATAAGCTTTCGTGGGCATGCTTTATTATTCTGTATGCTAATTTGCTGTTCACTCAAGTGGCTCAAGTGGTTAAGACACTGAACTGCAGGCTATGGAAGGTCAATAGTTCAGCAGTTCGAGACCCGAGTGTGCCGCGTGACGGAGTGAGCTCCCGTCTCTAGTTCCAGCTCCTGCCAACCTAGCAGTTTGAAAGCAAGAAATTGCAAGTAGATAAATAGGTACCACTTCGGTGGGAAGGGAACAGCGTTCCGTGCGCCTCGGCGTCTAGTCATGCTGGCCACATGACCACGGAAACGTCTTCGGACAGCGCTGGCTCTTCGGCTTGGAAACGGAGATGAGCACCGCAATCGACTGGCTTTCGAGCAAGGGAACCTTTACCTATCTATATGCATGGACTGGCAACTTCCATTCCACTGTATCTGAAGAAGTGTGCAAAGCACACAAAAAGCTGATCCCCAGAATAAACCTTTTTTAGTCTTAAAGGTGCGCCCTGGGCTCTTCCCTTTGCAAATGTTACACCTTTGGAGGAATTCAGGCTGCAATCCCAACCACTCTGCCTGGGGAGGAAAATCTCATTGGATTCAGTGAGTCTTCCTCCTCCTGGGTAAACGTGCCCTGTCCGTGTCGCTGGAGGGGGCCCGCGAGGGAGAAATGGCATCCTTCAGCCCAGAGCGTGGGAATTCCCCAGGGCGCCCCTTTGGGCTCTTTGCATTTGCGCCCGACCACCGAATCTAGAGGTCCAAGCTCTGCGCCGAAGCCGAAGCCTCCATTTTACTTTCTGGCAAACCCCCCCCCCCTCCAGAATTGTTCCTGGCATACGCCGACCGCGGCGATGCCGCCGCCATCTTGGTCGCTGGCAACGGAGGGCGACGCTCACCCGGAAGGTTGTCGTCGCTTCGGCTGTCGGGACCGGTGCGGTTATTGTCGGTGAAGACGGTCCGACTGAAGGAGCTCAGCCGCCTCCTGACAGGCTCCGGCAGCGACATGGGAAAGGCTGCCCGTCTGCGGATGGGCCTCCCCTCGTTGCTATGGTAACGAGGCGCGACTCAGACTCTCTGCGCAGCCGCACGTCGGCCAAAGAGATAGGAGACGAGTGTACTGTGGAACCTTCACTTCCGGTTCCTGTCCGATTGTCTCCTCTATAGACCGGCCCAGAGGGTGGAGGGTGGGGGAGAAAGAATCGTGTAAATATTTAATTTAATTTAAAACCAGGGTGGGGTTAAAAGAGAGGTCTCTCTGGTTTACTTCAGCATCTTTTCCACCAACAACAAGGAAACAAAAACAGGGGAAACCCAAGGCGTCCTTTGAATAGTGATCATCAAGCAAAAGTCATGCACACAAAAGAATCCACTTTCAATGCACTTCCCAACTGGATTTTGCCAATTCACACGGTAAAAATCCAGTTTGAAAATGGATTGAAAGTGGATTATTTAGTGTGTGTGTGACCGCAGCCTAAGTTGGAGTCCGGTGGCACCTTTAAGACCAGCAAAGTTTTATTCAAAGTATAAGTTTTCGTGTGCGCGCCCACTTCCGGTATCTGAAGAAGTGTGTGCTCGCACAAAAGCCTACATTTTGAATAAAACTTTGTTGGTCTTAAAGGTATCCCTGGACTCAAACTTTGTTCTACTGCTTCAGACCAACAGGGCTACCCCACCTCGATCCACCCCAAAATAGACTAAACTGTGAAGATAAATTCAGGTGGGTCTCCGTGTTGGTCCAAAGCAGCAGAAAGTTCGAGTTCGGTGGCACCCTTAAGACCAACAAAGTTTAATTCAAGGCATAAGCTTTCATGTGCATGCACTCTTCTTCAGATACTTTGAAATAGAAGTTGCCAGTCCATACATACAGGCAGAGGGTGAGCAGCAAATCAGCATACAGCAAAATAAAGTTGTTGGACTTGGACAGATGCAAGGACCAAACTGGAATAACAAGCTTAGTTTATATGGTCACCATTTGTTTGGGTTTAATTCCGGGGGGGGGGGATCATAGGGAAGGAAATAAATATATCAAAACGGGAGCTTGATGGACAGATGTTCCTTTCTTAATTGTGGAAAGTTGAGAGTAGGGCTATTTTTGGGGAGGAACCCACAGGAACGGAGTCCCGTCTGGCTTCAGAGATGGCCACGCCCACTACAGCCAAAAATCTCTGTATGTGTGGCTACAGAGGTAAGGCCTGGAGAAATACCTCCCCCCCACCCCGCGCGTGACTCCGAGGCGGGGGAGGGCCCCTGGAAGGATCGGGATTGGTGGCCGAAGTATTTGAGCTTCAGCTTCAGTATCTGGCCTTCCAGGGAACAGTCAGGGTTGATTTCTTTTAGGATTGACTGATCTGATCTCCTTGCAGTCCAAGGGACTCTCAAGAGTCTTCTCCAGCACCGTAGTTCAAAAGAATCTATTCTTCGGCACTCGGCCCTCCTTATGGCCCAACTCTCACAGCCATACATTACTACTGGGAATACCATCGCTTTGACTTTTGTTGGCAGGGTGAGGTCTTCTCAATTCCAGGAATCTATCCGACCAGTAGAATTATGCAGCATTTCACTCCCTGTTCAGGTAATACAATTTATAGCCGAGAGACCGAAGCCAGCGAGAAGGAACAATGAAAAGCGAAACGTGTATTTGGCAAGCAGATGTGAAGGAGACGCCTTTATGAGAGTAAGTGCCTGATGACTGCCTATATGGCGTTGGAAGTGAAGCGGAGGTTTTATCGGAAGCGACGAGAATTTCCTGGAATCTGGTTTGATGTTACTGGATCCGTTTTAAGGGAGACGCCAGGAATTGAACAGGAGCCTTCTGAAGGCAAAGCAGATAGTTGAAGGAGCGCCTCCTTCAGTGATTCCTCTAAGATGAGTTTGTGTGAGCCTCTGGCTCAGACATTTTTGTCTTAGCTCTGGAAGGAGGGGCTCCAGAGCAAATTAATTGACGCAGCAGCCAAATCACCTGCTCACAACTGGAATGCCAGTCGCTCACAAAGTTGAATTTTTGCTCACAAGACTCCATAGCTTAGAGGGCGCATGGGTCTCCTTCCATTTGTCCCTGTGCACCAACTACAGTGGTGGTCAGGCAGACATCTGTCAGCTATCCAGGGGTCATTTCATAGAAAAAGAGGTGCAGGTGCTCATTAGCATAACTCATTAGCATAACTCATT